AGAATACAAGGTTACGACAACCGTTGACGTCATCGAACCAACTACGTCATGTATACAGTGGGCGGGATTTTATATTATATAATAAAAAGAAATTAGTTTTTTCTATCAAAATATTGTTAACTATCCGATGAATTCAAATTTTCTTATTGCCAAAACCTCAAGTTTTCAACTCAAAAAATTACAACCTGAGGCGGTTAACGAATATTCTACAATATCTCGTGTTTGCTTTAATTTTTCCCAAAAATTTAATTCAAATCACAAAAAAAGCTCTTTAGCAGACAAATATAATATGTGGAAATCGGGTTTTCTATTCAATATTTTATAATAATGCACATTCGCTTTGAGTTTTGATAATTTTTTACGTTTTCGACATTGGCATTCATATGACATGACACCAAAAGTTAGAGTTGCTAGTTTATGTTTATGTTGTTTTATAGATAAAATTAAGCAAATTTATTTGAAAATCTTCGACAACCCATAAATTGAACCAACTTCGTCATTAAACATATGATTTCGCTCTTGTCGTAACCTTTTATTCTATAAACCTTGAGTGAAACTACCATAAGGTATTGTATCATGCATGAACAAAGGTATGTACAGTTGTGAACTAAAGTGTTAGCACAGCAACTTCAACTTTAACACCTGTTTTTGGCCACTTATGAAAATATTTTTATTTCCGGAAAAAAAAAATCCTAGATGCGTCTACTAATTTTCACCAAACAAACGTATTGGCCCACTTAATTTTCGCTGGTTTGGTCGACCTTCTAGGGGCTCGTCCTCTACGGAAAAATATGCGGTCTGAAATCTTTAAGGATGGTGCAATCGTTCCATCTTCGATGTGGCATACACTGAATATTTGTATTGACTGTAAATTATGCCGAAACCCGAAGAGAATCACATGGTGAATTCCTGCTTGCGTTGGTGGTGAAATTTCGTCTGGCTCATCATCAAGATATCTTACGTTTTCTCGTCTCCATTTTAGCCGATCTTTCTAAAATTTGAAAGGAAGGCTAAAAAATTTGGTATTTTTAGATTAAACAAAAACAAATTGATAGTCACCAACTTACCCTAATTGTTTTTATCACAGAAACAGATTGTTGTCGGAATCAGAATTGAAACCGACAAAATTCTGTTGAAGAGGTTACACATTCCAATTATTGGTTTGTTATCGGTTTCATTTTCGAAACAGAATTCGTGACGATTTTAGGTGTTACATAAACCGATTTATCGGTTTAAATGTCAGAATCAAACCGAGCAGTCATTCGTTGAGAGAATTGTTTGCTAAGTTCTTTGCAAGTGGAAATTTAATAAAAATGTAAGTCATGAACAATGGATTTTACAACCAGTAATGCCTGGAATGCGGTATTTTCATTAAACATACTTTACTTTAAAGTGAAATCCAGAACCGTGCGAAAAAGTATTGTTCGTCTTAAACTTACAACTCAAGTATCGATTTTCAAGAAATTTGACCTAAAATAATTTTTTTTAATAGGTCCCTGATCCAATTGCCTGATTTTTCTTTTGTATAGCCAAGGACCAATCCGAATAGGTGCGATTCTTCGAAATCAGTTCAGGAGTTCTTGAGTTAGAGACGTAGTAAATAAAGCCACTCTGTTTTAAAGGTTGATCGATTGATTTATTCGAGGTTTCCTACTTTTTTAAAGAAAAACACAGAAAATTCAAATTTAATGGGAAACGTTGTATTATCATTCGAAAGAACATTCTTTGGTATTTATTTTTTGAAGATTATCTCCTTTAAATGTTGGCCGCGGCTACGTCTAAAATGGTCAATGGGTTGAGTACATATTTCGATGACTCGTTCGAGCATTTAACTGCTAATTGCTGAATGACACGTGATGTTTTGGTCAAAAGCCTGATTCGAAGATTTTGAGATTGTCCGCAAAGACATTAGACTTTACATATCCCTACAGGAAACGTGGAAATATCTGCACTCCGAAATGTTCTCTCAATAAATCATTGATTGTTGCGATGTGTGGAAAGTGGCGCCGTTCTATTGAAACCAAAAGTCACGATCACAAGCTTCAGTTTCAGGCATCAAATAATCGGATATCATGGCGTGATAACGGTCGCCATTGACGGTTACGTTCTAATCGGCATCATTTTTGAACAAATACGAATGATGATTCCACCGGCCCACAAACCACACCGAACCGTTGTTTTTTCTGGATGAAATGGCTCTTGAATCTCTTCAGGTTGCTCTTCTTCTTCCCAAATGCGGTAATTTGCTTGTTTGCACGCCTGTTGAGCCAGAAAATGGGCCTCATCGTTGAAAAAATTTTGCTCAAAAACGTCTGATCTTTTTAGAACTTTTCAAGAGCCCATGAAGTGAAGTAACGTTGCTCGGGAAGTTCGTGCGGTTTCAGTTCTTGTACAAGTTGTATTTTGTACGCTTTTAATTTAAGACTTCGTTCCAAGGGCGCCGAATCGACTCTCCACGATATTCGTGTACACTCTCGACTACGGCCGCTATATTTTTTCACTTCGTGGTCTATTCGGCCGAATATTATCAAATAATGAATTCTGGGCCAAAAGATGGGTGATGGAGTGCGAATAGTACGCTCAGTAGGCCGATTATGTTGACCATAAGTTGAGCGAAGCGCGCGAAACACATGCTTTATAGAACGTGAATTTTCGTAATAAAGTTAAACGATTTGCAAACGTTGTAAGTAAGTCGTAAGTAAGTCTTTTCATAATGAAATTCCCAACAATAGTTTTTTTTTACATTAATATTTATTTATGAAACTGTTTCGACATCAGAAGCCTAACAATAAGTAATGAGATCTCAAACTAAACTAAAACATAAAGCCCATTAGTAGGAATTGGCTGCTGGTTTGACGTTGCTCTTTAGAAGGCTGTTCTGTCTCTTCTCCGCAGGCGAGTTTGACTTGTTGCATGGCTCAAGGTATTAGCCGAGGGGTTCGTATGGTTACGCCGTTTTATTAAGTATTTTTGTGCTGCAGTTTCAATCTCTCTTTGATGGTAGGTATACTGAGATGTGTATGGATATTTCAGCTCTATGGATATTTATTATCATTGCGCACGTACCATGGTGCGCCCGTTATTACTCTTAACTTTTTCGATTGGAACCTTTGAATTATATCTATATTCGTCGCGCAAGTTGCGCCCCATAACTGAATTCCATAGATCCATAACGGTTTTATTGTTGCATTATATAAGAGGACTTTGTTGCCAAGGCTAAGTCCAGACTTCTTGTGTAAAATCCAATGTAAACTGGCAGATTTGAGTTTAAGCTGCAGCTTTTTAGTAGCAAAGTGTCGTCTCCAGGTTAAGCGCCTGCCTGCCGAAGTGGTATGTAATTTCGTCAACTTGCGGGTTCGACACATTAGTGAGCTTAACAGTAGAGCACGTTTTTGGTCTTAGTGTAAAAGTGATGTGTTTGTACTTGTTTTCATTAACTTTTACGCGTCATTTCGCTTCAATTATTTTAACCTGTAATACTTTTGTGGCTGCAATGGTGCATTTATGACGACTTAGTATAACAGTATCATCCGCAAATGTTGTAGTAATTACTTCGTCACTTGTAGAAATATCTGCGGTGAACAGTGTTGGTCCAAGAACACTACATTGCGGAACACCTGCAGTGATACGATACTTCTCTATTATATATTCATTTACTTTTACGGTGAATCGCCTGTTGGATAAGTAGAATTCAAGAATATTGTAGAAAGTGTTAGGTAATGATTTTTTAATTTTATGAAAATGGCCATCATAGCACACTTTGTCAAATGCTTGCGCCATATCAGGGAAAACGGCCAAGCAATACTCTCTGAACTCGAAAGTTTTCCTTATTTCATTTCTTATACGATTTACATATTCTATTGCGCCGTGTTTTTACCGAAAACAAAATTAATGTGTAGGAATAATATCGTTTTCATGGAGAAAATGAGTAATTTTTGATAGCAGCTCTTTTTCAAAAAAAATTGGATAGGCAAGGCCACAGGCTGATTGATTGGTCTATATGATGACGGTAGGGTTGCGTCTTTACCTGGTTTAGCTACCATAATTATCTGCGACTTTTTCCATATTTGTGGATAATATCCTATAATTAAAATGGCATTAAAATGGCATTGAAAAGCTTTACAAGAAAAAACGAGCGCAATGCTTGGCAATTCTTTTAGCATTTTTGGTGAGACAATATCGTCTACTGGAGTTTTTTTTTGTATTTAAGGGGGTAATAATGTTTTTTTATTCATATACAAATGCTCCGCAAGTTACAGTGTATCAGGAAGCAGTATGGTTAGGTGACAAAGGTGCACTATTTGTAGCAGTATTTGGTTGAAATACTGTACTGAGGTGCTCTGCAAAACAAAAATCCTTTTCTTCATCCCTTCTGGCCCATGAACCCTTACTCCGTTTACTCCGTCTCAAACAATAGTGAATAAAAATAACATGACAGCTTGACCTGACCCACACGTGTTCTGTCAAAAAAAGGCTATGGTAAAAAAGTACCTCTACTTGGACCACATATATATAGATCACAAAGTAAGCGATTAGCTTAAAAGAGATTTACCTGAAATGCAGTTGTCATTTAGTACGAAATATTTATTTTCCTTATATTTGACGACCGCGGTAGCCGAGTGATTAGCATTGCGTACTGCCATTCGGAATGGAAGGAAAGGTTTCAAATCCCCTTGCGACCAACATCAAAAAGTTATGGAAAATTAATTTAAATAAAAAATTAAGTTAAATTTTATAAATGCGGTCGCCCCTCGGCAGGGAATGTCTCCCCTTTCTGGCATGAAATAAAGCTCCTCATAAAAAACCCATCAGTCGTTCGGCGGTGGCTTCGCTTTCTGCGGTTACAAAGCGCCAATTATATATATATTTTAGTTATAGATATAGATATATGTATATATAGAGATAGATAATAATTATATGTTATTAATCATTTTATTGATATTTTCTATTTTCATGCAATCAACATACGATTTTCATTTCAATTGTGGAAAAATGTATAGTGCGCCAATTGCAACAGAGAAGCTTTAGCTGAGTGCTCGCTTTGTCGAAAGACTCCATATTGCTCTGAATTCTGTCAACGAAAAGATTGGAACGCTCATCAAGTGGAATGTACAAGGAATCCCGCTCAGACAACAACTCAACAGATTATGCTCCTGGTGGATGAGCAGTCCTAAGCGAATTGTACATAATAAAAGTATACATATTTTAATTCTTTATACATTTCAAAATGATAAAAGAATTTAATAGCTGAAAATCGAAGAATGCAAAAAAGCTAATTAAAAAATACAAACAGAATAAGAAATTTATTTAAACCGCAAATCGAAGTAAAGTGAAAGCCAACATCCAAAAAGGAAAGATACAAAAGAATAAAAAAAAAAATAAAAATAAAAACAAAATAAAAATAAATAAGAAAAACAAAAAATTGCATAATACATATTCGTCTATGTATACATTTTCATTAGTTTTTAAGCACATAGTTAAACTTTTAACATTTTATTATTTTATGGATAAAACTGCCGTTACAACATCTAATAAAGATTTCAAAATCAAATTCGTATAAATAAGTGTAGTGAAAAACAAAAACAAAAACAAAAAATTAAAATGTGTTTTGTTCATGGCACTTGAAATCTTTAAATTTGGGTGTGTAATGGTTCAAATTATTAAATTGGAAATAAATACCCTAGACGCGATTTTGTATTATAAATTCTTGGGTATACTTATATATAGGTAAGTATTTAAAAATTGAAATTAAAATGCATAATAAAATATATGTATGTTGTGCATGTAAGAAAAGAGTAATAAGAGCGAGCACACATCTTGGACCGACTTATTCGAAGAAATCGTGTATAAGATTCGATTGGGGTTTTGCTTGGATTAACAGGTAGACCACTCTTCTCTTCGGGAGCAAATAATCCTGTTGTAGCCCTTTTTGAATGAATTTTTATTAGAGCTAAAGGGTTATTTTTTTAAGGGAAGCTAAAAAAGTTATAAAATTCAGAAAAATAGCATGAAATATTAATTTGAATAATTAAATGTTTGCAGATTATTTCATTTCCTGCAAGATCCATCTGCTTAGTCCAATTTTGGCATACACTTTCAACCGTTCGGCCGGTATCTTACGAAAAAATGCTTCAATGTTGTCCTCCAAAGCGCCAATTGAAGCGGGTTTGTCTGTATATACATTAGATTTAACATAGCCCCGCAAAAAATAGTCTAAAGGCGTTAAATCGCACGTAGACGGTCAATTGACCTCACCATTCACGTTACGTTACGTTACGATTCGCATCAGATTTGAAGAAGTACGGTCCAATGATGCCACCAGCGCATAAACCGCATCAAACTGTGACTTTTTCTGAATGCATTGGTAGCTCTTGCAATGCTTCTGGTCAAAAAGCCAAAAATGAGCTTCAAAGTGCGCTTATTTTCTTAACAGAGCACACATTTTGATAATAAAATTCAATAATTTACAAGCGTTGTTCGTTTGTGCGACGATTAATGGTTAAATTTTAGACCAAACTGAAGATGTTTGACAGTGATACAAAATACGAAACGTCCGTCAGCTTTTTAAACCAGTGTTGCCAAAAAGATAACAGCTAAAAAATCACCCTTTAGTTATTTTCTTCCACTGTAGCTAGGAAAAAGACAGTAGGGTGAGGAGTTCCAAGAACATCAGTTGCAAGGCAACAATACATTATCAGCATACCTTAATGCAACAGAAGCAAACCGCGCATCGCTAAGGTTTGTGATGCTTCATTTTGTCATAAATTCTTAGCAACAATGGCCGTAGTCGGAGGGTAAGTTTTTTGCGCTAATTCTTTTTTAAATTACTATTATATATATGACTTATATATAATTATATTATTTAATATTTTAGCCATTTCACCGAAAAGCAACTCATTTGCTCGAAAAGCGTACCAAAATGTCAGTTTGCAAAGTATTGTTGCAAGGCAAATTTATAGAATAGAATGCAAGGTTCGATTGTGATGATACGGTTGCGAAACGGTCTCATTACAAAGTATTTTGAAGTCTTGGAATTCACCTTATGTGTTATTATACGGATCAACATTCACAATCACGACATTTTTAATCAATAAATATAAAATGGTCGATATCTCCGAGTGTATGAAAATAATTTACATACAATTGGCGCTTAATAACTGCTGAAGTGATTGTCGACCAAACACGGTGTACGCCTTGATGATTTTCCAACAAATGGAAGGCTTAAACAAAATTTTCTAAGCCGCTTTTGAACAGCTGAAATAAGTTTGGAAGGATTGACACTCCTCGGAGAGGGTAAATGTGGTTGTTTATAAAGGAAAAATTCAACACCACCAAATGGTTCGTTTCGTGAGCTACTTTCGTTTTTCGAGGTTCGCAAAATGGGGAAAAAGTGCTTAAAATACTCGCATCGATGAAAAAATTAAAGTAGTTAGAGGAACATTTTTTTGCTAGTAGCTATGTATTTAACATGTAACGGGTTTTCCAATAAGAGGTGCTATTTTGAATGGAACGAAAATGCTTCGACAACGCATTGTAATTATGAAACGAACGGACGGACGGCGTACTCTTTAGTTAGTTAGTTTAGCAATAACAATTGTAACTGAATTTAACTTAATCGCGTTCGTTGAGCCGAAACCTCAGTAAAATGAGTAACGAGAGAGCTGGGAAAATTTCAGCCAGTAAAAAGTAGCAAATTAGAAATACAGCTGATTTGTGATCATATAATTGAATTGAATGTCAACCAAACAAAATTGATTTAAAATTGTATTAATGTTATTTAACACTTTTATATGAATGATAAATTACCAAAATAAGAGCCCAAATATAATTTTGCTAAAGCAAATTTAACGGTATCAATGATTTAATCAAATAGTTATGGTTCTCATTAACAAACTCACCGAATGCGGTGGCAGTGGAGTGGAATCATCGTCCGCATGCTATCGAGCCCACGTGATGATCTAGAAGTTAGGAATGTTGAAGGCTTAGAATCAGTGTATATTATTATTTTTAATACAACGCAAATTGATTTTCGATATAAATAATTTACTAAAAAGCAATGTCGACCAAATGAGCTATAAAACATTGCGAGTTATTGTTGTTACAACCGTCACAGTGACGTTAATGCATTCATCCTTAAGCTTCCAGAAGCGACGACGATGCACAAAATGAAATATTAGTAACATTTAGAAGGAAAAATAAAGCTTGGTTTTCGTTTAAACAGAATGGAATAAACTCTATGATAATGTTGCCTATAGCTTATACGGAAAAAGAATTTCAAACTCATTTCCGTTTTTAAGTCATCCTTTTTTAAATTTTTACAAATTATAATTACTGATACACTAAATTTTTATTGAATTTAATAAATTATAAATCCTATATAATTGCCAATTTTATTAAAATACTAAACAAAGAAAATAAATTATTTAAATAAACAGCTGTTGTACAAAGTGCTGGCTAATTTTTATTGAATCCTGTTCGTTGAGAACTCAGTAAAATTCTTCACATGCTAACTTTTACCGACATTTCTCAACGAACACAGCTAAAAGTCGGCCTTCTCCTCCTTCTTAAGATAAAAAGCATACGAAAAAGGAAACTAAATGGTTAGCTTTACGAGAAAATAAAAGAAAATTCGCATTCATTTTTATAAAGCTTTTCCTGGAAAATTATTCTGCTCTATCGAGGAAATTCGTTAAATTTAAGTATTTTGAAATTTGAAGTATTAAGTATATGTGATGAGAAAGTTTCCCGACCCGTTAATTAATGTTTAATAAATAGTTTTCAATAAGAGGTGTATTTTAATATTAAAAAAAAAAACGTTTCCCTTGTAACATCGTTGGTTTCGTTGTTTATGTGGCACATAGCGCCGTCTTGTTGAAAGTAAATATTTTCCAGATCAATACCATCCAATTTCGACCATAAAAATATCATTAATTTATAATCTATAACCTATCCAATGACCCCTTCGGACCATAAACCGCACGAAACAGTTACAAGTTCTGATGCTTTTAATAATTATTTTTAGGTTTCCCCTAGCGCCAGAATGAATTAATTTTTTAGTGAATCTTTTTAATTTTAATCCGTTGTTGAAATGTTTGAAACGACATTTGTTGTTATATTTTTATTATTGGCGTAGTTTTTACTTGTCAAATGTCAAAAAACTACTGCTTCAAAAGTGATATCTACCGGAATAGCAGGCTATTCAAAATACCACCTCTTATTGGAAAACCCTCTAATTTCTGAATTCTCTTATGAATGGGAAGATTTGTAAGAAACCTTAATTACCGACGGCAGGATGCCAGGATCCGAAATTTTTTATTGCAATATCAATTATATAAAGAAAGTAGAGCAGATGAGGGCGTGTTTTCAACACTTTTTTCCATTTCAAATCTTTTCGCTGGTGTAGCGAAGCGTAAGTATTGGTACGATTGTGGTAAAAAGATGCATTTGCAGACAGTAAAGAAGAGAGGCCGGAGTGCGAGAGTATTGCAGAGCTCGAGAAACTATCCGAAAGTGGTAATACTCGAAAATTCTTTACTTGCTAACTTTACTTCGAGAAGGTATCAAGATCGGATAATAGTTTACGCAATAAATCGACTCGGTAACTTTGATATAAATGCGTGAGAGGTTCCAACACCTATATAGAAGAAGAATAAAATTGATGATCGGCGGTCAAGAATTTTGACCATAACAGCATTCAAAACGTTTTTTGTGTTAATTCGGTCTCCACTCGATGTGGAGTATTTGGCTCTGTGAGTGTATTTCCGACATGAAACAAGATGTTTAAGTTTTGGATAAAATTCACATTGCCTTTCGCTTGCTAACGTGTATATTAGACATGTTTCCTCGTTTGATTGGTTAAGGCTTGTATTATCACATGCAAGTCGACTGCGTGGATGTAGATACCTCGGATTTCGATTGTGAGTATTTTTTTAGTAAAATATGTTGCAAACAGTTGATCTGAATTATGCTACCAGCCCTTTCTAGATCACCAAAAACTTCTTCTTTTTCGACACCAGTCATCCGTTATTTTTGAACAAGCATTTGTACATATATTTAGATATCCAACACACAAAAATATTATACAACAGTGGTTTGTACACCAAATACCAGATTTTTTAATCATTTTTGCTTACAGCGTTCGAGGACATTGGTAAAAACGTCAAAATAGCAAACAATTTAATGTTTCGGTATTAAATATATATGAAAATTAACAGTTTGCCATGTCGTATGCGCAACATTTAGAAAAAGCGGTATACACGTATGTTCAAGTAAGCTTTAGATTAGTATTGAACGGATTTGAAAACACGAAAATTATACTTGTTTAATATCGACATTTTTTTTTAGTCATAACATCCAATTTTAGCAATTTTAATAGTTTTTGTAATCTTCTCGATATTGAGGGTGATTTTTGGTGATTTTAACTATCAACTTTCCGCCCAGTTAAGACTCATATTATATTGTTGCATTTAAACAAATGTACATAATAAATTCAGTATACAATTTGATTACTTTATCTCTTCTTCTTCCTACTAGTAAACACATACTCCGGAACCTAAGTTTTCATGCAATTTCATATTAGTGAAAGTTTCAAGAAATTGTCCTCTCCAAGTGGAATGATGAGTTGTTTTCCATAAATGAGCAAACATATTTAATGATTTAATAGAGTTATTGACTTCGCTAAATAGCCATCGAGTTGTTTGTGAGTGACTAAATAGTGGAAATAAAATGTAAATATTAAGTCAGATGTTTCTTTCTATTTTGCAAATTCACATGCGTTGTTTATTGCGATATCTAGTCAATTATATATTTATTATCGTTTATTTATTATTTCTATGCATTACCAAAAATAATTTAAAATTTGTTTTTGAGTGTGAGTGTTTCCTAACGTGTTATACGTAACATCTAGAAGCGCAAATAAACTGCTATTTTTTTTATTAAGTATAGCGCATTGTACACCATTATATTGTATTTGATCAGTACATACATTAATACATTGTATTTAGCATTATGAATGATAATACTTAATTCAGTTTAAACGTTCACATTTAATCACGGTAAACATAGGCAAATACGATTAAATCCTATTTTAAGTGGGGGTTAAATTTAATAGGTGTTGCTGCATTTTTCAATAATAATAATGGTCATTGCTCACAAATTTTGCATTTAAGAAAAAACATCGTAAATTAGTAAATATGTTCAGACATTGAAGAAACTAAAAAAAACTTCTTATGGAAAACAACACTTAAAAATTTTGTTAAGTGGGTATTTTTTGTTTAACAAAACTTACATAATAATTACATTTGACATAATCATCACAAGCTGTCCACTACATTTACACATAAGTTTGAATATGGAATAACGATTAAATAGTTAATAATGTTAATTGTTTTCGCACACTGGTCTAAATTAACTCAATAAATATAAACTTAAAATATTATTTTTCGATATTAAATCATTGAAACGAATTTAATAAAGCATTCCTACTTAACACTGCCAAATAGCAATGACTTCATTCTAAATTTCGAACTTCAAAACGTTTAAATGTGTAGTTAATGAAGACCCAATCCTTAGCGATTTCACTGCCTTGAGGTATAGGTGCCGATGCTGTATGCGAGTATGAAAATAAATTGTAAAAATTAATCAATAAATTTAATTTAGCATGTATATTATATAGAGCGAGCATACGTATTTCAAGCGAGACATCGGGGAATTCGTCAAAGTTTGATGTATCATCAATGGAACGCACATCGACGGGGATGGCTGCGGGACGCTCACGAATATGTTCCCAATCTACGCCTCTAAAGAACGGCACAGATTTCAAATCCTCTAGACCGCGCTGCGAGCCTAAGCGACGATCGGCTTCGCAGCAAAACTTGACAATGGTGTCTTTCGCCTCTTCAGATATGGGTATTTCGGGCGGGAATATTAATGTTTCACGCCAATTCATCACTTTGCGATATGTATCTTGAGGATTGTCCGAGCAAAATGGTGGGTAACCCATTAGCATTTCGTACATTATCACACCTAATGACCACCAGTCGCACGCCGGTCCATAGCCAGTCTGTAAGAATACTTCTGGGGCAATGTAATCGGGCGTACCAACTGTGCTGTATGCCAAAGCTCGGCGATTGCGTTTCCACGATTCCGCACGGCGTTTTGAATCCATTGGACTATTAATAGAATAAGCATTTAGAAAATCAGAAATAGACATTAATTAGTTCATTACTACCTAGCGCAGGTCCCAATGAAATCGGATGGTTTCGCTTGTGAAAGGTCCCGATAAAAGTCGGTGCGATGCGATTTTTTTAATCCCGTACAAAGTCCGAAATCAGAGAGCTAAAATTGAAATTTCGATTTCGATTTTAAACAATTGGACATTTTTTTATTGATGTTGCATTCACCTTTAAGTGTCCACGTGCGTCAAGCAGTAAGTTATCAGGCTTTATGTCCCTGTGTATGAAACCCAATTTATGAATCGAGTCAATTGCCAAAGCTGTTTCGCTTATGTAGAATTGTGTACATTCTTCAGAGAGCGTATCCTTTTTCATTAGAAGCGTCATCATATCACCTCCCGGTAGAAACTCCATTATTAAATACAAATTGACAGGATCCTTTGGAGTGCAATGAAAGAAAAGATATAATATATATGAGTAAATATAAAACAAATATGCTTTGTGATTTAATAAAATTAAGAAATCACCTTAATGATTCGGTGTGATAATATAGGGTTATCCATTTTGTGATTTCAAAAGTACAGGGTTGTATTTTTACGTCTGTCAAAGTTAGGCTTTTATAAAAATGGACCGCTTAACAACAGTACAACGCTTTAAAGTGGCAAAACCCTACCACAAAATGGTGTTTCAAACCTGAACACGTTCCAATCGTTCAATACTCAAGCAATTAGTAAAATTTTGAAGAAATTTGTAGAGACTGGATCGGTTACAGATATCGTCAGGCATGTGCATCATCGTTTTGTTCGTTCCACCTCAAATATCGCTACTCTAAGTGAAAGTGTAAGGAAGGCTCGAATGTGCCTTTTTCTCGATACACTGTGGCGTATTATGCAATTGGACTTACACCTTCATTCACATAAAGTGCAGCTCACAAAACAATTGATGCCAGCTGAACATTCACAACGCCGTTCATACGTCGACGGATATTTTTCGAACAAAATATTCTTTAACGACGAGGCACATTTCTCCCTCGGGGGATACGCTAATAAGCAAAATTTATCGTATTTGGTGTTCCGAGAATTCTCTAATAACTAAAGAGAGGCTATTACAGCTCGTTCTTTGATCCGGCTCGTTCTTTGATCCGGAGGTGTCTATAAATACGACAGCGGCGAGACAGCCAATGTTAATTCGCAGCTTTATGGTCGTGTGATAATCGACTTTTTCTGGCTTGCAAATGCAGAAAACGACGACACGAGCCGAGATTATGCGGATAATTCGTCACGTTATGTTTGAGATACCGCCCGATATTATATGTCAAAAAGTGGTCGAATATTACCTCAAACGGATCGGAGGTTCCCAAAAAACCGCCTTTCCAGTTTTGCGAATGATGTAGTATTTCACATATTATGTCAAGGTACAAACTTTATAATTTATTTACATTTATATTCGAAACTGAAAAATAGATAACCTTGTTTTTGATAGAGGTTAGCTAAATCAGCCCGAAGATTCTTTAAAATTCAACAGAGATAGAGGTACGTACATCATTTGCGTAATTATTTTTTATTTAATGAAGTCATTACTGACTTCTAAAACTATTCGTGAGTGTAAAATATTAATTAACTCACCTGAAAGCTGTAATACATCTTCACCACCCATTGATGATCAGCTTCGACGAGTACGTCGCGCTCGGCACGGACGTGTGCTACTTGTTCCTTTTCAAGCATGTCTGCTTTGCGCAATACTTTCATAGCATAAACATGTCCTGTGTCCTTCTTCTGCACCAACCGCACCTCTCCGAACGCACCTCTGCCAATCACCTTTAATGCTTCAAAATCTTCGACACCTAAACGTAATCTTTTAAGGCGTAGAAATTCTGTTTCCTTTTGCGCGTGCTGCAACCTCTTCTCTTGCCTCTGCGATTCCGTTAGACTTTCATCCTTCAACTGAGCCTCTAACTTAGCGAGCCGTTGTTTGCGCTCTCCATATTGTGTCACTAAATTACTGTAGTAATTTTCCAGAGTCACCTTTGCTTTTGTTGCTTTGTCCAATGTGTGGTCGCTAAACCGTATGGAAGAACCGTCAGCACTCATGTTGTCGGACTTTTAATGACGAAGCCTTTTGAAATTGGGAAATTCTTTAAAATACAAAAATACATATAGTTAATACAGTTGAAAAGTCCAAACAAGTGGATATCATATCCACACACTTAATATTATAGATGTCAATGATGAGTGTGTCAATTTGTTCAATTGTCACACCCTAATAATAGAATATAATGAAATTCGGCAAATATATGGTTTTAATTGTAATTTTTAAATCAATATAAAAATCATGCCAGTCTTCTTCTTAATTAGAGAGTTCACCGCTTATGTGAATATAACCGAATTCGATTCTTCTTTTAACCGTTCGGCACCGATTGGGGTCCTCTTCTTCCACCAGCAGCGTGTACGGCATCACATACTTAAAAGCTTGTGTTTTTCGTCCAAAGTAGTACAGTGCACATTTTGTAGTTGTTGTTGTAACCGCAAAATATTCCCCAAATAGGGAAGTTACGGTCATTGACCGAATAAAAAGTTGGGCCGTTCCGATAAAGGCCGTGGGTGCTATTAGATTTTAGTCACTACTTACGACAGGCATGCCTTATCACAGCTCATTATTTCATTGTCGGCGGGGTGCGCTTTCGCATACAAGCAGAGGACCATAAGTCTTCAGTAAAACCTTTCTCTTGAAGACTCTCAAAGCTAACTTTTCTTTCAATTGGCTACTTACTCCAAGGTAGTACCTGTTTCCAACTGAAGACCAGGTGTCTATGCTGGTGCTATACACTGAGTTAGAAGCCTAAACATGAATGCTCTGACTGTTTGTTTTATGACAGAATTTTGTTTTATCCTCATTCACTATCACTTCATTCGCCTAGCTTCGTTATCCAGTGTAGACAGCAAAACTTTAGGCGCTCTTATCACAGATTATTTATTTCTGAAGATCTTATATTTTTCTCTAGAGTTAGGTTTAATAGGTTGTTGTGGCTGTTGGAGCGGTTCGCTAACCCCGCTTAGGTACAGGTTTTACTAATCTAAGTCGCCGAGGTCATCTAATGGGAGGTCCAGGAAACGAGCAGTTTCGAAGGTTTTGAAGGTTTTGACTAACTCCTGGTGAATGGCGTTCAGTGCCTGTCTGTTCGCCATCCTGTTCAGCGGTTGTTGCTCATGTTGCTGGATGTTGTTTTTTAAGTTGAGTACTCCCTTCCTGCGGTAACGTCCTAATAGGAACTGCTTCCACAGCAGAGCATTATGCTCCTTAACTCGTAGCATAGATGCTTCACTGTGCAAGTGATGCCCCGGCGACATCAGGAGGTTTCCTGTCGCAGTGCTGAGGGTGCTGTTCTGGCAGGCCTGTAGCTTCTTCATCTGCGTCTCGTTCGTCCCCGGCGCCTAGATCGGTGCAGCATAGTTTACGACCGGCCGACCAATTGCTTTGTAAGTTGCCAGCAAAGTTTCCTTGTCCTTACCCAAGGTGTTGCCAGTATTTTATTGCGGCTCTGCAGTTTTAGGGCAATTGCGGTCGTATGGGAAGAGAAGGAGTGCAGGCTGTCCAGTGTCACTCCCAATATCTTTATGTTGTTTACAGTCGGAATTTTTACGTCGTAGACCTTCACATCTAGTTCAAGCCCGTATTCCTTCGTCCAGCTGGTGAAGGGGATAGCCGAGGATTTGGTCGGCTGTTTTTTCAATTATTGTGCAGTGAAGAAGTGCAACTCTCAAGACAGCCGGTTCCACATACCGGAGTTGAGTTGATTTTATCCGGCCAAGGGCTGTCACCCTTTCGGCGACCTAACCACGTTTAGGTCAACAGGTAACCCTAATTTACGGTTAAAGAAGTCACCTTGCATGATTAAGCTTCGTTTGGCATCGAACGGATCGAAGAGGTGAAACCCTTCGATTAAGGAATTCCGAATCGCCGGTGTTCCAAGAAATATTTCTGATATTGAGTATTTTAAAAATCCGAATGATACCGCTGTATCCCCAATCTGATGGCATAGTAGAACGATTCAACATAACACTTGAACACTTGAGAACGGTCGTGGACAATTATTAAGCACAATGGGATATCCTCATACGTCTGTTCCTGTGAGCATATTCCTCGATTGTGAGTAATTTAAAGTTTTGATTAAGTGGTGATGCGAGAAGGATTGGGAATAAAGCGTCTAATATCCAATTTAGAGTTATAAAATGGAAAGATGAAGGTCGAAATATGATGAGGTGATAAATTTCGAAATTTTTTTGGATTAAGGTCCTCCACAGTGTAGCGAAAATGCCAAGTACAAATGACAGATGAAAAGGAGATACTGATAACAACAGCATATTTTAAAGTGGGAGTATCGAATGTTCCGCTTTAAGATATCGTAAGAATTTCCTAAGATGAGTGGGAGCGATCGGTGTCATATATCACCGAGTGGCCAACACAGCAGAAGTTAGTTAAAACTGAACTGGTTGGTGACAACACTACTGTCCGTTTTAATATATTGCTGACCCGACGACAAGTTGCTGTTACTTCCTGTAATTTGTACATTTTAAATATTACAAATAGTCGATCTTTTGACGTTCACGCGCTATATTGCGGTAACATATAATATAATTTCAATTAAATTAAAATTATCACTTTTTTTGCCTGTATGCTAGACATGTATTTGGCAAGGCATCTATCGTTTAGTTTGGCTAACATTAGTTCTGTTCGGTGAGGAATGTCAGTAAGAATTAGCTAGATACACGTTGAGAAAAAATATTTTGCGAGCTCTAATTTGAAAATTCACCACTTTGAGTTTTTACTGCCAAGTCACAGCAGCGTAAGTAATAAACAAATTTTATGGATATTCGAACCGAATGATCGAAGATCTATGAAAACCTATTTGCTTTCTACAATTTCTTAATTGTAATGAACTTAATCAACCTTTATTTATTACTCAATAAACAGCAATTGAAACGGCAGACGTTTTCCACCCGAGAGAAAATTTACTTTTTGAGTTTTTATACTATTCAATAAAATGCGGACGAAACAGACGAGTGGTTATAGCTTGGCGTACTATCATTCGGAAAGATAGGGTTGGTGTCCTGGTTACAAAGCACCAAAAATATATGCATTATCTAATAAGTAACCAATTTGATAAATTTGACTATGTCCTCATTATGGCTTTTTAATATTTCGACGGATTTTGTCGAAAACTTGTCTTTTATTAATATTAGCCTTGGATTGTAAGGAAATAGAAAGCACGTGTAACATTGAATCTACATCAAATATTATATTACAAAGATTAAGACCTGACTTTTGGTTTCATTAAATGGCACAGTTATGTAGGTCCAGTTAAAAAAAAATAATTTTTATATAAAAATCAGCGTGAAAATTTCATTTAATTCTGGATCATTAAGTTTATAATGTAGATGTATTATGTAGACTTTTAAATCTTCGTTTTGGCTCAAAGAAGCTTTAGAAAGCCATAAACTCATATATTTATATATATATGTATATGCCTATATATAATTATTTATATCTACATATGCATATATAGATGCACATCAGACGTGCAGATGTCAAAATCAAACTATCACATAAAGTGTTTTCAACTCAGAAAATCATTGAAACATAAGTAAATATTTCTTTATGTGGGCTTCCTAATGTCCCTGATCAGAGTGGTTTGCATCATACGTAAAGAAAACAAAACATATTCTAGCTATACGTACTTCGTAGTGATTGAACGAGGATTTGATCACGCCAAATGAGCTGCGTTTCTGATGTTAATGCACTTATTGATGTTTTTCTTGATGCTACAATAATATCATAGCTTCATGATTCATAAAAACCACAATTTAAAAGTAATTTCTCACGAATATTGCTCTATTTTTTACTATAAAATGAATTTTACTGCAAGAAACAAAAATGAAAATATTGACTGAAATACGAAATTCGAACATGAAGTATTGCCATACTAAATTGTTCGAATATCATAACAAGGAGGCTAGACTAAATAGAAACCAAGAGCGGTGCAGCTTACATAGTAATTTTAAAAACGTCCACTTTTGCTTAATGCGTAAAGGATCGTACAGGGATGAAACCGTTATGCACTGAAGACGTTTAAATATTTAATGTCGTTCACCTAACGCTGGGCGGATTTCTATTAACTTCGAAATCTACAATAAATAATAACCACACATTACTTACTTTACATTACTTTCTTCTTTATTTATTTTCTTCTTTAACTGCTAATTATAAATAGCAGAATCTATTCGTTTGTAACACAACAAGAAGAACTTGCGGAATGCCATCCTCTGGTTATCAGAAAGACAACTTTCTCACGTAGCCAAAGTAATGACTACCACCGAAAGTGAATTTTTTTTGTGGGTGTATACTTGGGTGCTAGGTACTAGTCGACTTTAGGACCCCGGGGACTATTTATGTATGCAACACTGAATCTTCCAACTCAGTGGATTGTGTAATCCCGTAAATAGATAGATAGATGGTTTTTTATTTCGTCGCAGATGTATACCCAGAGAGATTGGCATTCCCTCCCGAGGAGCGACAGAATTAAGAAAATTTAACTTCATTTTTTTTTAAATTAATTTTCTATAAGTTTTAGGTGTTGGTCGGTCCAAGATTCGGACCCCGACCTTCCGAGCCCATTGCTCTTTTTTTCATTTACGTAATGGGTTTTTATATTAAACCGCGTTTGTTTCGCGAATAGCTTGCTAAAGCTCACATTCACTTGCACTGAGAGGAAGGTTCTCCAAAATATTTTTGTAGTTCAATGAGAGTACCATTTAAATGAAAAGTTAAGCTGCGAGAGAAACCAAGAGCGAATTTATGTTTTCCGTAGAACTGACTTAGCGGATTGTAGGCTGTCAGAAGACGTTTTAAATGAATTTTGAATAAACTTAACCAATGGAGTTTTCAATTGCAGCGAGCTCTTGTGTGTATTAAGAGTATTTGCCCAAAAATTATTATTATTATTATATGTTATATTGCACAAAAAGAAAAAGAGTAATTTGTTGAAATTATTATATAATGTTGACAACATAATAGTTTTGAAATAAAAATAATACATTGTAAATAAAAGAAGACCTGGCTAATTGGTTTTCATAACCAAACTGTTTTAATAATAAAAATTAGAATACAGATTGTATTAAAACGACTTCTCTTTAGTATTATGAAAATATTATGCACTTTTATAATTAAATGTTGGTCATAAACATAATTTTTTAAATCTATTTCTTACAAATACATTTACAATCTTATGCTTTTCTTTTGCTTTCGTTACAATCTTTACAATCTTAATAATCATATTAAATTTGATTATCTCCGTTTTATATTAAAACACATTTACATAAATATGCAGGATATCTACACTTCTTTCAATAACTTTTCCGTATAGCACCTTAATATCACGTTCTTTACACATAATTTATTTTAATTTTTATTTAAAATTTCATCAATATTGTTTTTACACCTAATAAATTTCGAACGCTATCGTTGTATTTAATTAAAACAACCTTTGAAGCGCAAATATTAATTTTTTCCCCAGCGCACAGAAGTTGCAAACAGGTTGCTCTTTCCAAAAAATCTGACATCTTAAGTTCCCTCATCAGACTTTTGTGTGTGGAAGATGCTGATGAAGAAGGTGGATATATCTGAAAATTTTTAAAAGCAAATACAAATATTAAATAATCTTTTCATTAATTATAAATCATCATTTTATTACCTTATTCAAAAGAGTATCTTTTGATTTAACTTTAAGTAAATTGCACAAATCACTCAACAGAACCCATTTATCGGTTCCTTCATCTTTGAGTAAATATAAAGGTGGTAGTAAAATATCGGCTTCTTCAAATTCAAACATTTCTCCCTCGCTATCTGAATTCTCTACTAAAATCTCCGGTTTGTTGTCATTGTACAATCGAACGGAGTTGAACCGGTCAATATTGTCTAGCACGACTGCACAATTTTCCATTTTAGTCTTACAATTATTGCCCATCTCTACAAATGAATTTAATTGTTTTTTGTTCGCTATCGAATTAGATATTGAACTTTTCCTAAGAGCTCTGCTCATATCACATGTAAAATTCGGTGCTCCCCCGAATATATCATAACCATAAATTGATGGATCTGTAATGTAAAATATTGATTTGAATTTAACAATTTATAAATTCGATTGTATATTTGATACAATCTATGCACATATAAATAAGTAAAATTTTATAAGCACAAGAATTAATAAAAAAAAGGATATGTATTTATTTGCCTACTCAATTGAGGTAGTTGAGACATAGTATACTTAAAAATAGTCAGAAATAAAAGTACTTTAATAGTAGTAATATTGCAAATAATAGAAATAAAATTCTAATAAGTTTGATAATAAGTTAATAAGTTAAAACAATGAACAAAATAATCAGTCTCACTACTACGTATTACGAGAGAAAACAGATACAATAGTTTTGATTAAAAAAAATAAGAAATAAGGAGCTTTTTGCTTACAAAAAATGCGCAGTACAATACTACAACTTAATTTTAAAAAGTAGCCGAGAATGCGGTAATATTGAGAATAAAAAAAAAACTTTCATTACATGTCAATTGCTTCGAACCCATCGTATTTACATCACGGATTTAAAAAAATAGATTTACAGAAAGAGAACAAATTGGTTCGTTATTAAAGTAATACTGAAGATTAAATAGATCAATTTAAGCGTATAACGCTCTGAGAAGATTTTAAAACATTTTATAGCTAGAAAAAAAGGAATTTGGAAAATACTCAACATTTCGTATGGCATATACAATCGTTGGTAGAACATCTAGCATAAAAAAAAATATTTAATAGTTTATTTGAAGCTTATTTTATATTTACTGTTTCCGTTGGATAAAGTTGTAATCATTTGTAAAAAGTTTTACTCACCTAAAATCTCCCATGGTCCGTTAAACTTCCACGGTTTCTTGTCGGGTCCAAAATTCTTTACATCACTCAAGTGGTTATTGAGAAGATCTCTCATTGCAGTGCTTGAAGCAAGCATTAAAGGTGTTTGACCTATTTGATAGAAAATATAAACAAAATGTTTATTTGATACCAAACTGATATATTGTTTTGAACAAACCTGCATATGTAGCTAGTTGTGGATCCGCGCCATAGGAGAGTAGCAAACGCACAAGTTCCTCGTGGTCATTTTCACTTGCCTCATGTAACGGTCGAATGCCAGAATGTGCAGCTTCCGAATGATTCGCACCATACTGCAGCAGAGTTCTAGCTATTTCAAGCCAACCCTTTGTGCAAGCTTCGTGTAGCGGCGTGTAGCCAGCATTGTCTTTCTGATCTGGATTCATGCCCATACGATCTAAACAGTAGACAACAACGTCTATGTAACCTAAACGAGCCGCTTTATGCATAGCGCTCTGTCCAACGCTCTTATTCAAAACCCATTTATTTATTTCACGACACACATCATCCTCGGTCTTAACTTTCTTCTCATAGTTCTCTTCTTCTGTTTTTCTTTCAAATTTCGCTTGTGAATGTGAATTCTGAGCGGAATTTGCATTAGTTGAGTTGATAGAATTAGGTTTCTTCTTTTTTCGTATATAATCAAAACCTGAGCTGCCTTTTCTTCGTAGATATTTGCCGGGACGCCGCCTTCGAAAACCAGATGTCGTATTGTCAACTTCATTAGTTGATTTGCTAATAGTGCTTGGATCTAGTGATTTATTGTCGTCGGCTTCTGCTACACTGGTACTTGCTAATGTGTCTTCCTCGTCTTTGACAGGTTGATTCGCGATCGATGTTGCTGCGGAAATGGACCCCGAAACAGAATCGTTTATAACAATATTTAATTGTTGCAAAAACTGTTCGTACTTTTGTTCGAATGTCATTTTGTCATTGCCATCCGACATTTGAGATATAATTTCAGGTGGAGCCGACGCTGGCCGATCGTCGCCAACAAAAATCTCACGTATAATCTCTTTGCGTTGCTGCATTTTGGACTCTGTTCGCGTCTTACTTTTTAAAACAGTCGTCTCAAAAATACTAAAATGCCGTTTCTTTCCATCACTAGATTCTTCATCAGGCTCTTTTTTTACGGGTATAGAAAGCATTTCCGTTACCGAACTCGATTCAGCACTATGTGAAACATCACTATGAACGTGGCTAGAAGCGCCGTATTTGGCGCCACTTTTCTTACATTTCGGTTTTGTGCTGGAAGACATGTTCGTATTTGTAACTCGCGAATGTAGCACGTCAATTATTGAGCGCTTTTCACGATGTAATTGCTCTTCTTGTTGTGTTTTAGAGTTCAATAAAGACTTTTTACTCATATTCGGTGTTGACTTCTGAAGTAATTTTTCAATCGACTTTGCAAATTTTGCACTAGCAGCCGAAGAATCATGTTCACAATCTAAATCTGGCAACGAAGCAGCCATTTTCAGATTGTGTGGATGATCTATTGTAATGAGACTGGGTGGAATTTTAAGCGAACGTTTATAGCGGTAGACTTCTAAAAGTAATTCTGTTCCTTGTTCCTTATTTTTAGGCTTGCTATTTTGGTTATCACTTTTACCAACTGCGGCGGATATCTTATTCAATTTCTTACTACTCGAACCAGGTACCTTTTCAGATTTCTCGCCTTTTATTGTTTTCTCGTTTCTAGACCGCAAGCGCATTGAAGGCTCGCGATCAGTTTCTTTACTTGAGATTTCCTTACAAGCTGCAGTTACGGAGCTTGAATTGTTGACAAATTTCCGTACATATTTCCTTTTTATTGACTTAATTTTAGTTGTAGAATTGCGAATAATTTTATCATTACGCAATACTTTGCCATTGGCCAATTGTAGTTCCATTTCACGCTTTTGTTTGGAACGTGTCATTGTATTTAAACCTATCTTTAAATGCACTTTTGGTTTCTTTTTACTCTTTACTACCTCTTTACTTATACAATGGTCTTGTACTGCTTTTGTCGCCTCGTGTTCCTCTAATTGGTTTTCCTCATTCAATTTATGGCTCTCCTTTCCACGAATTTCTTCTGATGTTGATTTTTGCATATCATCATGTAATTCTGTGTCACTAGATTCTGAGTGTCTAGATTTAAGTGTTTGGCACCTGTCTTTAGATTCGGTATTCGTCGTTGTTGCCTCCCGGTTTTTATTTTTAAATTCTGTTTCTGACTTTGAGGTTATGTCGATTAGGTCCTTTTCCTCCTGTTTTATAGTAGAGTTCCTTCCGTCGTTACTATCTGATGAATCACTGCCACAATCGGAGAATTGATTCGGATCAGTGTGAGTATTAAGTCGTGCTTTAGCTTTCTTCAGCGGTTTCTTTGATCGGTCGGATTTCCGTTTATGAATTTCATCGTCGCTCTCCGAACTGCTCTCCACTTGTAAACGAGCAGCCATACGTTTTTCCTGTTGCAATCTCATTTTTTCCCTATCTTGCTTACAAATCTTTTTTTGCGTAATAACCATATTCGATTGCGAGGAATGACCTTCTGGAGATTTGCCTGTTATACGATCACCCGTCATGGTGCTATCAACGATTGCATCCACTATATCACATGATTTGCTGCTTTCTGCCGTGTCTACATCGATATTTAATGGCTTCTGTTCCATTCTATCAGATATTTTAAAATTTATATTCGTGCTTGATGTTGTTTTGAGCTCTTCACTCAAGTCTATATTCACATTCGAAAATCGACATTTAGCAAACTGTTTTTGTGTATTCGTAAGTAACTGTTCCATAAAGTCAGAACATTTACTATTCCAATTACAATCTAAAAGCCGACTCGAATCGTATTCTTCATCTAAGCCAGGAATGGACGGCAGTTCAGAGTTGAATGTTTGACAAAGACTTGGTTCCTCCTTTATTTTAATAGGCTCATTTGTATTACTTAGTCCATCTATCGGTGTGTTGAATGTAAAACCTTTTAGTTCCGCCTTAGTTCTAATGCGAGCAGCTATTATTAAACTAGTTTCTGTTTTAATCGGAACAATTGGAACTGACTGTGAAATTGTTGGCGGAGGAGTATCCATAGTCGGTGTTAATGGCTCTGATTTGCAGATAGGTACGTTAGTATTGATAATTATGGAGCTTTCCCTTTGACAACAAGGGACAATTTCAGCTTGTATGGACTTTTCCACTGTTCTTACATCCCGTTCTCTCACCTCATCTATCACTCGTTCATTTATTGCTATAACCGATGTTGTTGGTTCCATAGTGGCTAGTTCAGCAGTTGGCTGAACAAAGGTTTCTTGGTATCTGTTTTGTTTAACAACAGGTTCAACACGTTGTGAATTTGAGTATTCTTGAAGATGACGCTTTCGACCAAGATAATTAATATTTCGCTCATTAAATTTATTGGCAGCTGGGTTTGCATCTACGCGGGAAATTTGCTCTGCAGTTTTTATAACACCACCAGTAAATGTATGTGGTGTACAAACATGTTCAATATTATTCGAAGGAAGCGGACTGGATGTTATGCTGGAAGCTGCTTTGTGGAGCTCGACTGATTTGGGAATATTTGTACTGGCCACAGAATTTGGTTCGGATTTTATTAATTTTGTTGTTGCATATGGATTTGTTTCTACTACACTTGGGCGCACCTGACACATTTTTACACTTTCTTCTGTTGATTTCAATATTAAAGAACTTGTCTTTTCCTGATTAACAGGACCTAGATCTCTATGTAGAGTTGCCGTGCCCACCCGAGTAGTTAAGTTATTCGTTGGATATTGCTTTAAATGATGTTCAGCTGGAGAGTGTGCTGTAAAGGAGCTCCCTTCAGCAGACAATATAATGGGTTTTGACTCTTCTGATGAGTTGTACAGATGTTGCCTCGGTTGATTTATTATTACTTTAGAGCCTCCCGGTCTATCATCGGAGTGTAGCGCGAAATTTGGTGTGAAATCTACCCTTGGTAGCGTGTGCTTATAATCACTCTGAAGATTTTTCAAAAATGCTTGATTGTATCGATACTCAGTAGAATCAGCCTTCGTTTTGACTGTACGCATAGACAAATCTAACGGTGATGAATGTAATGGTTCCTCGAGCTTGATAGTTTGTTGTATTTCAGATAAATTAGCGTTAGGGCAAGCTGTTGTAATATTTTGTGTGCGAGTAGGAACATTTTCCACTAAAAATCCATTTCCCAACGTACTCACCCCGTAATCCTTCTTTGACATTGAGGTATTGACGGGTAAAGGCAAACTGTTGTTATTTAAAGTCGTTCCGCTTCTTGATATTTTTTCGACGGGTTGGGTGCCGGGTGAAGCAGCGGCAGAGTTCAAGGCTTTCTTAATAATTTGCAAATCCAATTCCTTTTCCGATTTTGCACTTCTCATCGCTACAACTTGGTTTATTAATTCTCTATAATTGGTTTTTGGAGCTTGAGACTTCTTTATAGCATTTTGTTTTTGTCCTTGAATTGGAAGGTTTGAGAAGGGTTTTGTTTGAGTTTGCGGCTCCATCTGTTGTGCTTGTGGTGAAGGCTGCATAACCACCGACTGGGAGTTCAATGGCTTAGAATTTTGTGGGTGTCGGTCATAAGAACATAAGTTTGGAGTTGGGTGTATAGTAGCGCTTTCTTGATGCACCCGTGCCGAAGTTCGATGCATTTCAATTTGATTATGATTATGTTGTTGCTGACGAATTATTTGTGTATAATTTGACGGCGATTGCGATTGGCTTTGTGGGGTTAGACTTGAATGATGTATTTGTATGTGGGTTGGAGGGGTTGTTTGCGATGGTGACGGCGAGGCCATTGCTGCTGCCGTCGGTGACATTGACATATTAAAATTTGTATTATGTACATTGCTATCATATTTTATATGTTGTGCCTCATAGTAGTATGGTTGGGCTTTATAGGCATTTGCACGGTTTACTGGCGTAGGAGGAGGAGTATTTTGATTTTCTGCACATATTGTGTTTTTCGTGACTGTTTCTTTTGCAATTTTATTATATTTATGGTAGCCTAGTTGAGCGCTATTCTCACTAAAACTGTTAGACAAAGTGCCATAAGACGAAGAGGCGTCTTTGCAACAGCTATCCATCGGCGATGATGTTTTATATGGGTTCAAATATAACGCACTGTTTGGGTGAATCGCGGGCTCATTACAAATGCTATCTTTACTTTTGAATACCATATCGTGTGTCGTACTTTGTACAGCATGATGAGGAGGTGGTAAGGTGTGAATTTGATTGTGTGATGGTAAGGTTTTCTGACTTTTCGAATACTGACTTGGGATTTCTGCTTGTTTTGTGGTGCTAGGAGGCATTTCTGAAATTGTAGCGATCTGTGTTTTGGCACCTGGCATATAGAAGTTTTGACTGCGAGATATATGTGGACTGACGTTATTCATTAATAGTTCTTGATGTTGCGGAGTTAATGATGATTGTTGCATTGCCTGTTCGTGTACATTGTGGTGATGGTAAGTGTTTGCACCGCTATGATGAGCATAATTATTTATTGCAGGCATTTGTATATCATTCACCTTAACTGATTCAGTTGTGCAAACGCGAGCTTTATGGTCTGAGTGTTGTACTACATTCATTTGGGAATGAATAGTATTAAATTTTTCTGAACTGAATTGTGGTGTAGACATATATAGGCTTTGATGGTTTGGGTGGGTGTTGCTGAGTTCTCCATGCGTAAATATTTGCGGACATTTTCGTGCATATGTTGGACTGGCTTGCTGCTCCTTTAAAGCCATTGAGTTACTTGGATTTATTATGTTCCTTTGTTCCAATTTAGTGTTACGTATCATTTCAACTGGTGGTCGTGGAATTAACTTTTGGCCTTGGATTACATCGCTGTATATTGGTGGTTTTGATATTCCATGATCAGGTAGCAATGGGTGGTAGCCAACTTTAACCTCTTTGTGTAACTCATGCCTCGAAGCATATACATCATCGTATATAGTCTCTTTAGGATATGCTCCTATCGCATTTACATGATGATTCTGATGCTGTATTTGTTGGGGTTGGACATTGACTATATTAGCTGCATTCGATTGCGGATGCATATGAATAAGATTTTTTGGCTGCGCCTGGTGTTGGGGCTGTTGATGCTGAAGTTGTTGTTTGAAGTTGTAATTTGACTCCAAGGCGCAGCTTTTTATTGGCCCTGAATTCCTATCTTGTTGCAGCCCCACAACGTTCATTTCCGTCGCATAGGTTGTACCACTGTTGGGTGGGAAATATTGCCTCCCATCATGAATATATAAAGAGTTTTGATTAACCTTTTCTAATGTTGTACTAGTATTTTGAAAATCAGCCCTGGATGTTCGTTCAGAAGACCAGTTTCCATTCGCTGTAGAAGGACAAGCATTGCACGTAATATTATTTGACATGCTAGGGCACATGCAAGACTTATTATTAACAATAACTCTTTCTTGAGAATAATATTGAGTATTTGATCGACTGTCTTCGACTCCTCTACTAAAATACATTGCACTTTTCCTTTCATCATTACTACCAATGACCTCGTGATGTCTGTTTGGATCCATTGTTTTGTATAAAGAACCTAAACAAAATAAAGAAAGGTTATTTAGTAAATTCGCTCACTCTCTGTAAATACATATCTATAAATATATAAATGTATACATATGTATATAAGCATGCATGCTTTTAATTTTAATTTTCTTATAGTAATTTATAAAATTATCTTGTAGAACGGCTAAGAAAAAAAGTCGTGAGCATATATAATATATTTTGGAAAAACAGCAACCACTACCACAAATTTGAGGAGCTCGGCCGAAGATCGCTTCAGCGCCAATAATATATGTATACATTTATATAGATTTATGAAAAAACATTATCGCAGAAATAAATTCAGACGTTTTCACTGCCGGTCTGCCTTTAAAAAAAAAAACTTTCGAAAATTTCGGTTAGCGTTTAAACACATAGTTTTACTCGTTATCTCGGATACAGTGTTCGACATGTAAAAATCTAAATAATAAAAGACAATTATTATATTATGCAAACCGGCAGAAGTCATGGGTAAGGCGGTATATATTTGCAGTATTTTATTTTATATTTGTGTTCCTTATTTTTACAACAATTTAGTAAAATGTATCTCTCTTTTAATACTTTCTTCCGTGCGCCAGTATAGTTAATGAAACGAGATAGTAAGTAAGCCTCTTAGTTATCATAACTGTTGTTTGTGTGGTTGTAGAAAACCAGTATTTATATTTCACTGTGGCTCTTTGAAGCAAGAGCTCGAGTTTCACTCGCTTTCTTTACTTATATGTATGTTTAAGTTTGCTTAACTATAGCAGTAATTTTCATTTTGAAGATCTTTATATCTCAAATTTTCATTAGCACTATCTCTGCACAGTATCTCTACAACTCTAAAACAGCCCCTTCATCATGCTATATTCCTTTAATAATAAAACCCACAATTAAGTTTCTTTCACGTATCTTGTAGTATTTAAAACAATTATATATTGGATTATTTATGTATATTTGCATTTGTTTTGAGTAAATAATATGGAGAAAAAAATAATAGAAATGTGCTTTTAGCTTTAAAATAACACTTGTCATAAAACTTCATCAGCGTTTTGGAGGAAGTTTGCAGTTTCCTACATCACTTTAGCAATTTGAAAGCGCCAACTACATGTATATTTCCATGAATACAAACTAACATACATAATGTATTTCAGAAAACAAATTTCTGATATAAAATTATATATCACTTTCCACTTATAGTACCGTCTTAGTAATTTACAATTGTCACTTGTTACTCTTCATTTTCAACACTACACTTAATGATGACATCGGAATAACTAACCTTCATTGCAATCTTTATTGCCTTAAAATTTTGAATAGAAGAAAGTTGAATGGTCAAAATATGACAATTGTCTACAATGTTAAAATTGTTTTACTTCAATAGATTTATGCCAGAGGGGAAAAATACTTAATTATTTACTATTTTGAAAATATTTATCACATTGCAATTTTGAAAGCCTAACATACCACAACATTCATTAAAACAACTTTATCTAACAAGTATTTTTTAATATATGTACATATTTTGTTTTAAACACATTTATTTGTGTTTTTTTTCTAGATACTTTTACTTTTGCTCCAACCTATTTAATGGACGCCCCCATCATACGTTTTCACTTCTACTACAACTTTGCTGTGTCAGCAAGGAATAGAGGAAAAAATTTGTGATATGGCAAAAGTTAATATGTGTATTTTGGTATTTACGCTTTTATTATTTTATCCTGTTTTTATCTCTACCAAGATTGGTTTTAGTGTAATACCTAATCTTTTTTGTTTTCTTCTTGCTTTCTTTTAATTAGAATTCACTTTACACATTATTACTGAGCACTTCCACTTTCCTAATAGCACCATGCTCCGCACAGTTCTTCGCTCACTTTACGATACAATTACAATACAAAAATACCAAACTCAGCGACTCGTTTACTTTGCATTTGCTTTTGATTTGTATTTGCGCTGTTTTGCTTTTCTTATTTTTCTTTACTTAGCTGTGCATCAACTTGCTGCTAAGGAAAATTCAATGAGCAAAAGCAAAAGATTTCTACTTCTACTTGTCTTCTTTGAACGGGTGCTTGCTTGCCTGCTTGTCTTGTTGTTTGGCCTACTTTGACCATAAATTTCACGTTTCATTCGTACTCGATTGTGGTTATTTTCAATGTTAAAACTTCGAACTCGATATCTCAAGAAATATTTGCAATCCAAAATATATAAATACTACAATAAAATTATTATAAATGATATATATAAGCCTTTTCTTTACTTTTCTTTAAAATCACTGCTTCATTTTCACAAAACGAGACAACGACGACGACGATATAAAAATGAAAATGATTACAGTGTGACCAATTTAAACGATTCCCGTCGTTACAAATCGTGCAACCCTGTCCGAACTTGGCATTGAAAATTAGTTGTTATTTTCATGACCTTCGACACGAGGACAGTTATAAGCGATGCAAATTCCTATTACTAAACTAAATCTTAATTTTTTGATATATTTAAATTAAAAAACTAAGCTAACTTGATCCGATTTAATGAACCAAGCATATGACCATTTCCATTTCGTATGAAAATGCAACCATGTTTCTAGTGGTGAATAAATAAATGCTCAGGGTTTTAGATAACTAGTCTCATTAGCAGAAATATTATTGTACTTAAAATAAATACCTATGAGAAATAATTGAATTTATTTCTGAGATAATGAAAACAATTTCTAAAGAAAATATTAATAACTATTTATGTTTTCATTTCTAAAATGTCGTAAGCTTGTGAGGCTGTGTAGGAATTTTCATTATGACTGTGATTCATAATAGGAATAGCAATATAGATTGAATTGGATTCCAATTAAAACTCGTTTTTTGAACTTTTAAACATTTTCTTAGTAATTGTTCTTAAACTAATGTGCATAAGTCCACATAAGTCCAAATTAAAGTAGTCTTACATATATATTCGGAAATGATTCTGAGCCTAGTCTCATAAGTTAATGAAAAAATTTGTTAAGCATAAAATCTTCCTTTTATCTTACAGGCTGTGTGTTCATCTCAGCCATTTCAAGTAAGATCTATATTTCATATGGAGCCTCTGCCATGTTGGAGATCATGCAGTCAAGACTATCCGGGCCAACATCGAAAATTAAATGAAAAATTTTGTAAATGCAGTCGTCCATCTGTAGTGAATATCAACACCATTGAGAGTTTTTCCTGACATGATAAAATAACTGCCATTACCGTTTCGAAAGCGATATAAAAGATTTTGTAAGAACCTCTATTTATTGGAAAAAAGGGTAGCGTACGTGCGTTTTCTGCGCACTAAGTTAAGATACGACCTATCTATACACAAAACATGGTTAAAAAATGTAATTTTATCATGCAATGTATGTCTGTCAAAAGTATGAGGCTCACCTTGTATGAATTCGCTTTTTTATAACAGTTTTACTAAGCGGCAGCACCGTATTATCTACTCACTTTTCAGTCAAAGAAAGCCCTGAGCAGTGAATGATAAGCTGTCAAAACATATAAAAGAGCTACCAGTTTTCACCTGAAAATCATTTTACGAACATAAACGTTCTTTATCATATTTTAATATTGATCTCGGAAAAAGATAATTTCGGGTTATTTTGTTTGTGTTTACTTCATATCGTTACAGCGAATTTATAAAATGGCCAATCGCGACGCAGCCACCAATCAATTAATTGACTACAAAAACAATTTGTCGGTAAGTGTTGCAACGGCCATTTATTTTGTATTGTTCTTACTAATGGGTTGCAAGATAAATTATACATAGCCCAACTGATAAGAATCTTAACTCAGTTGTTTATGAATTTATGTATGCTTATAAATTAGTACATAAAAGGGAGCTAACCTTTTTTATGTGCAAAAGTGTACATACATATGTGTGTAATTAAATTTTTGAAATATTGGATAACGAAAAATTTAATGTACTTGAAATTAACACACCTATTTCTAATTAAACGTAAAGTTATCGATCAAAAATAGTTTTAACAATAAAGTGATTCATTCAAAATAATTTTTTCCTTTGCTTAAAAGGATAGGCCCAAATAACAAAAATTCACTTCAGATAAAACAATTGTTTGCCGGCTTGTTGTATCACGTCCAATATACACAAATTTTATAACAAAGTAATTATATTATATGTATGAAATGATGGAGCTCTTGCTGTCACATACATAATTACATATAAAGCTCTCTCGTATTATATTCAAATTTACAATAACAAAAAATTTTAATCTGAAATATTTCATGCTGAAGGCTTTACTGACTTACGACTCAATGACGCGACGTAATCTTTTATTTACTAGTTTGTAGCATATTTCACAACCTTCAGTGATCTCATATCATGCATGTTTGTACACAAAGTGAAGAAGGAAAGGTGCTCTTGCTAATATAAATTAATTGTATTGCAATTAGTGAGTTCACATTAATTTTTGTAGAACTCATTTAAGATGCATTAGTTAATTTCGCCTGATATGATATAATTGCTTTCAAATATTTTCCGACTGGAAAATTTCCAAAATTTATGAATATTGAAGGAAATTCGTATTTTGTTGTGAAATAAAATGTAATAAAATATTGATGTTGAATCTAACGGAAATAAAACAATATTATTTTTTTAAGGTATACAAAAATTCTGAATTTTTAATAATGTGAAGAATAGTTTTCAACTAATTTATTTTTTTGTCTACACAATCTCAAGCTTAGGACTATAATACAATATATACTTGTATGTACATATATACATACATATGTGCATATGTAAGTACAAGTGTATGCATTTATCTTTACCAAAGGGAAGTAAATTAACTATTTACAGGCCTATTCTCTCGAGACCGTGGTAGCCGAGTGGTTAGCATTGCGTACTGACATTCGGAAGGGTTGGGTTCAAATCCTCGGGCGACCAACATCCAAAAGTTATAGAATATTAATTTAAATAATAAATTAAAATAAATTTTTCTAATTGCGTTCGCCCCTCAGGAGGGAAAATGAAATAAAGGTTCCTCGTAAAAAAACCATCAGCCGTTCGGAGGTGGTTTGGTATAAACTGTAGGTGCATCCATTTGTTGGAAAAACATCAAGACGCAAACCCACAAATTGGAGAAGGAGTTCGGCGGAAAATCGCTTCATCGGTTACAAAGCGCCAATTATATATATATTCTCTCGAGGTAACAAAATTTACTTTGGTATTAAATTTACCTTTCAGTAATCCTGTAAGTTTTGTTACCAGCGAAATAGGAGGTAACCAAAAACCTACTGTTTGATTTTGTGTTGTTAGTTTGAGAAAAAATAAAAACCAAAATGGGTAGGCACATTTTAGGCCTGGAATTCATTGAAGATGAAGAAAAATGTGGAAAAAGGCGTATGCTAAGAAGATTGCCAGAAACAAATGACTCTTTAATTTGGAAGATAGCATGTTCATTCAGCTTTTTTTGTCTTTTAGGCATATTTTCCAAAATTAGGTTCAAATACTTATGATTACATAAATAAAACTTATTTATTTTAAAGTGCACTGTCTTCCATGTCGATGTGAATATTATTCTTTTTTACTTTAACAACTGGCAAATGTAATTTGACAAGGACGAAAAAAGCAGTGCTGCCTAAGTTTTTTCAAGCATTGTAGCCAGTTCGCCAGAATTCTAAATTCAATTTCGGGTGTTGAAAAAAAAGAAACAAAATTTGCTTTAACGGTAACAGTGAGAATAAGCCTGTTAAAGTGTAATTCAAGAAATCTTCGTAATATTCGTGTCTTTTTCTAATATTTTTCCTTATCTGTACACCATCTCTATTCGTATATTAATTTAAATAATTCTAATGAGTCAGTATTATTTGTATTTTTCTACATACATACAAAAGTGGTAATTATGTACATATGTAACAACCAAAATTGCATTAACTGTTTTCTAACTGCTTGTTATATCATATTCACTTAATTAATTTATTTGATTATGGTAATTTTGAATTTTATACTATTTGAATTGAGTGTGTCGCCTTTTTCTTCAAGTCGTACCTTCGTTTACACACTGAAGGAAAATATTCGATAACACATTCTGATATTCTTAATATTTTAGAATATTAATTTAAGATTTAAATTATATTGTTTTTTTCATTGTATTTTATTTACAAAATTGAGTGCGATTACATATTTTAGCGATTAATAGAAATGAACAAATTAAAGATTTTATCATGTGCTTAATATTTCTTGACACTTCTGTATTTGAATATAAAATTTTACTGCTCTTAAAATATTATATTCATTTGCCAAAGATAATGGGTTAGTTAAATTGAGAAATATTATTGTAAAAATAATCAGATATTACTATTGAGTTATTTTTCTTTTATGTGATGTATCATTTGATAAACCCCATTATTGTTGTTGGCGTCGTCGACACAAAACGGCTACTACTTACTAAAATTAATATTGCCATAGTTTCTATCGGTAACTATTGTCATTTTATATACCAGAAGTTGCCTGGACTTCGTCCACCTGGAATGCTAAGATGGTTTTAATAAGATTTAGATTTTTATGCTGTTTTCTATAATATACACGTATATAACTTACAAACTACAATACTATGTTAGGAAATATGTTAGTCTAGGCAAAGAGCTATCTAGTTGGCGTCGATCAAGCAAATCGAACTGTGAATAGGAACAGATCTCCATATGTTGACCTTGGCTAAGAGCTACCTAGATATGTTTCATATTTTAAGCAAATTCGAGTTGTCGAATCGGGCCCAAGGCCATTTCCGGCAGAAAAAGTATTCCTCATTTCAATTTGGGCAAAAAGATTTCTGTGTAGCAAATTTCATGTTAATCAAACGATCTAAAAGTAAATTTGATTTTTTCGATTAGATCGGTCCCAGGTTACCTTTCCGTAAGAAAAAGTGCTCCCAATAGTAGTTTGAGCCGAAACCAACTGATGTATTAAATCTTATTTAAATTAAACGATAAATACCAATTTTCCCAATACATCGGTCCCATTTCCTAAAAGAACAACTTAGGCACAGAGCTATATTTCTACCAAATTAAATTTTTTTTGGAAAGATCCGCCCCATGTTCACTTCCCGGAAAGTCCTTTCTTATTGGGCGCATATGTCGTACACTCTCTAAGTTTCAGGTATCTACTATTAATTAGAGAAAATTAATTTTTTAATTGCTGTCACCCTCTTTCTTGCATCTGCTGACCCTGCACAAAAACTTTTGCATTTAGTGGGCAAATTCTTTTTGTCTCTATCACAAGCTGTTGTCAAACCTTGCTTTTATTAGTAATTTATGGTTATCGTCTTGATGTTTATCGAACGCATAGAGGGCTGATGGATTTTTATGAGAAGCTTTTACAGTTTTTTATGTCAGAAATGAACTTGGAGGGTTTAACATTCCCTGCAGTGGCACCTGTAAAATTTTACAAATTAATTAATTTTTTATTTAATATTTTTTCTCATTTTCAAAAATACTCGCACCTTGGCCTTCTGAGTTGCAGTTCCAATTCTAGCCACTCGGCTATCTTTCTATCTATATATAGACTATATATGTACATACGTAATTATACATACATATTTATAATGCATCTATGTATATATATTTATATACATATATGTATGTATATATACAAATTGATACAAGTGATATTTATTAATGTGGGAAATTAAAGGTGTTTTCGTTCAATTATGTTAACTGTTGCTTCATTTTAACTGAACACAAAATTTGGAGCTTAAGTTAATATGCATGTCTTATTTATGAGGGCTATTAAATTGTTTTTTACATTACAAAAGATATCACGAAATGATCTTAGAAGTTGATGACTAAGCAAATAATAATATGTATATATGTGTATGTACATGCAGAATTTAATTAGTTTTCCTGTTCTCATGTGTACATCCTTACATAGTTAAATACATATTTGCTTAATAAATTATACGAATGCTTGTGTGTGTTTTTTTTTTAATAAAGATTTTATAATTATATATATATGTATATATATTATAATAAGTGAAAATGGAGTTTAATTATGAAATCCTTGAATTCTTATGCAAGGTACAATTTAATATACAATTATCATATGATGTACATATACATCCGCACATACATAAGTATACATACATATGCATGATATTATTTATAATTCATATTCGTGAATATCTTATTATGACGAGTAACAACAAAGACTTTTGAAATTCGAGCTAAATGTTTTTATTCGTAGTTTGTTTGTGGCTGTGTGTAGAACCTCTAAAAGTTTAGAAATACTATTTATTTTTTTTTTTTTCAAATTTAGTGCTAATTACACTTCCATTGAATGTACAAATGAAAGCCACAAAAGGCACCTTCGCGCACTTCAACTGCAAACTTCAATGAAGCGTGGCACAGTTTGTGCAAAAGTCAATGCACTCTCGTCCACGATTGTAGAAACTGGTATAAAATTGTTTTTGTATAATCACATTGACTGTTGTTAATCGTTGTCTATAAGTAATGACTGGTGGTGAATGACGTCGCGGCACCGCTGCATTGCTCCCATAACTCCTTCCAATTTGTTTGCACGCACGCACATGTGTGCAAGTAGTGTGCGACTGTGTAGGACATACTGGGACAGGGAGGATTGTGCGGCATAAAATGTTGAAATAGTTTCAGTTCAAGATTGTTTGTTGGCGTTGTTTGAGAACTTGTTCTTAAATGTATGTACAAAACAAGTATGTTCATTCGGACTCG